TTAATGTAACCTAATCTTACCTAATCCTAATGCAAGCGTGACCGTGTAGGCGCGTACACGTTGCCCAAAACGCTCTGCAGCGTATACGCAGTCTGTTGGTGTACCAGCACGTGTTTTTTATTTGCATAAGAGGACATTTTGACTCAAAATAAGTGATCTCAGAAGATCACTTAGCAATAAGAAGTGATTTAACAAAGTGAAAAACATCAACATAAAAATTAAGGTTAGTATATACAATATTTTTTATCTTATGTTTGTCTTATATTTTTTTCATATTTATTGTAACAAGATATCTTTTTTTCATTGTATATGTATATTTAGGAAAAAAAATATATTTTGTGAAAAATATGGGTCGCAAACGAAAACACTCAATATTTTATAGTGCAAGACATAAACGAAGATTAGTTGCAAGAAACACAGTAACAGATATGAATATGATAACTCATCAGACTGATTCTGCGGATTCTATGGCAATAATTAATAATAATAATGATCAACTAATTGTTGTTGATGAGAATGCTTCGTCTTTATGTGATTCTGATAAAGTATACTCAGATAGAAATCTAAATCAATATTATGATGAAAATAATATTAACTTTCTGAATGAAAATAATGCCTGTATGATACAAAATTACACGGCAAATAAGCTGCAAGCTATAGTCGATAACAATTATGAAAATCTGTGTTTAAATGATAACGAAACTTTTATACATGACATAAGTAAATGGGCTATTGAAGAAAAGATATCACTCAAATTACTCCGTCACCTTTTACAGATATTGCAAACACACACTAATTATACTTTGCCTAAAGATCCACGTACATTATTGCAAACTCCTAAATCAACTGAAATTATACAAATTGAAAACGGAGATTACTGTCACTTAGGTCTCGAAAAAGCTCTTCTAAAAATTATTGAAGAACGTAAAAAATTGAATTTTGCTCTTGATAACATTCAATTATTTATAAATATTGATGATTTACCTATATATAAGTCTTCCACAAAGAGTTTATGGCCAATATTATGTGCAGATAATATTATAAACAATGTATATGTCATTGCCTTATATTATGGTGAAGGAAAACCAAAAAATGCAAATGAGTTTTTAAAAATGTTTGTAGGTGATGCTATTGCTTTTATAAATAATGGGATTGATTATGAGGGACAGATCATAAAAGTCGAAATTAAAGCAATAATTTGTGACGCTCCTGCTAAATCATTTATTTTAAATGTAAAAGGACACACTGGATATAATAGTTGCACTAAATGCATTATTGAAGGTGATAATATAGAAGGACATATATGTTTTCCATACACATCTAATATGATGTTACGTAATGATAAAGAATTTTTTACTGGATCTTATAATCTTGATTATCAAACTGGTGACACAATTTTAAAAAATATACCAAATCTAGGCTTAGTTACAAATGTGCCACTAGATTATATGCACCTGGTATGTTTGGGTGTTATGCGTAAACTTATTATGTTATGGCTTTCAGGACCACTTAAGATAAGTGTTGGAACGACTCCGTCGATCTCTGTCGAATCAATAATATATCTCCCGATTGGAGCTCATGGAATGCTCCGATTTGCGAATAACAACAAACGAGTTTTTACGCGCACCGCGATGGGTCGAGGACGCTTTCACACTCTAGGTGGATCGAGTAGCTTGGGGTAGGGGAGAGTCCTCGCATTCCATCGCGCGGCTTTGCGTTGAGTCTAACGATAATTCCGCGATGAAACGGAACTGCTACCCGGCGACAATCTATCACATTAATTTATGTTCAACCAACAATAAAATAATAATACGGTGAAATCAAGTGAGTGATATTGTAACCTGTTCGATTCCCTTCAAGTAACATTTCCTTCACGGAGGTCGGATTCCAACCGGCGATTCCTCGACCGGCGATTCCCCAACATATAATTGGTCCTTCGAGCCGGATTCAACGGTCGTTACGAATTCACAGTGAGTTTTAACGGATTCAATGGTGCTCGGTAAGTAACATATTTTACCGAAGTTATTACAGTGCCACCGCTCCGATCACCGCGGGTGCCGCGCAAACACGCGCCGTCGCTCCACGCCCCGCGTGTCTAGCAAGTTCGGTGCCGTCGCTCCGCACCACGCGAGTGCCACACTTACAGTGCCGTCGCTCCGATCACCGCGGGTGCCGCGCAAACACGCGCCGTCGCTCCATGCCCCGCGTGTCTCGCAAGTTTGGTGCCGTCGCTTCGCTCCACGCGTGTGCCACACTTACAGTGCCGTCGCTCCGATCTTCGCGGGTGCCGCGCATACACGCGCCTTCGCACCACGCCCCGCGTGTCTCGCAAGTTCGGTGCCGTCGCTCCGCACCACGCGTGTGCCACACTTACAGTGCCGTCGCTCCGATCACCGCGGGTGCCCCGCAAACACGCGCCGTCGCTCCACGCCCCGCGTGTCTCGCAAGTTCGGTGCAGTCGCTCTGCTGTACGCGTGTGCCGCTACGCGCGGGGCATCGAAGCTCTTCACGCGTACTGTGCATACCAACGTCGTCGATTCGCTCGCCGAGTGAGCATCGCACTTTGCGCCTGCAATTAATTGGCTGATCCGCTCTCTGAAATGGAAGCCGCAATTAAAAAACAACGGGCGACCGCGGGCTACATTGAGCGCTTCTGGGACAACTTGATCAAAGCCGGAAGGGACAAAATGACTCGTGCGTACATGACTGCTCGCCTTGAGCTCCTGGAGTCTTATTGGGCAAAATTCTTTGATGCACATGATTCCCTGGTAATATGCGACAAAATAGATCAAACGGATTATATGAAGGAGGACGTCTATGGACTAATTGAAGAGCACTATCTTTCAACGAAGTCCCGCATCATAGCTCACCTTCAGACTACTAAGTCTATGGAGACGACGTCGACAAATGCGGATGCCGGTTCCGTCCTTCGCCAGATCCAGTTACCGAAAATCAATTTGCCTACGTTCGACGGAGACCCACTGGCCTGGGAGGGGTTTCGGGATCTCTTCAAGTCTCTAGTGCATGAAGTGGACGGCCTCGCACCAATTCAGAAGTTGCAATATCTTAAGGCTAGTCTTGCCGGAGAGGCCGCCGCAGTAGTTTCAAGCATTGAAATGTCAGCTGAAGGCTATGCCCTGGCGTGGGACGAACTGGTCTCGCGTTTTGATAATCGAAGAGTGCTCTTAACGACTCACATGCGAGAACTCCTGCTTAGCGCGCCAATTGTCAAACAGTCCTCCCAAGAGATCAATAGATTGATCAGTACGGCGAACCAGTCATCACGCTCTTTCCGGGCCCTGGGAAGACCGGTGGAACATTGGGATGACTGGTTTGTTCACATTATAGTTGACAAATTAGATTCATCAACGCGCCTCCTGTGGGAGTCGTCACAGGAGTCGAGTTCGGACTTTCCATCCTTCACCGAGCTGAAAACCTTTCTCCTTACCCGAGCTCGCGCCCTGGAAGCGGCTCACCCGCGTTCAACAGCGATAACAAGCGAAACAAAGGGAGGCAAACGCAACGGACGAAAAACCGATGTATCGTCACATTCCTCCAGCACTAGAGAGGGATCTCAGTGTCCACTCTGCAAGGCACGCCATCCGCTCCGATCGTGTGACAAGTTTAAAACCTTCTCCGTAGAACAACGTCGAGACCAAGCGAGAAGGAGTAAAGCCTGCTTTAACTGCCTAGGCCACAACCACGCAGCAGCGGCCTGTCCGTCTATCAACCGATGCCGGCACTGCCGGGAGAAGCATCACTCACTCCTGCACATCGGGGTAATACAGTCAGCCGCTCCAACGATACCTCAAGACTCAAATGCGGCCATCACCTCATTAGAAAAGTCCGTACATCAAGCTGATGCAACGGCAGTAGCCGCCTTGGCAAGCACTACGAATAACACGGTTCTTCTTGCGACCGCCATGATAAAACTGATCTCGCATTCGGGTCGTACGGTTAAGGTGCGAGCATTGTTAGATTCCGGGTCTGAAGCCTCGTTTGTATCAGAACGCGTCGCCCAACAGCTCCAACTACGCCGCCGGAGAGTGAACGTGACGGTCTCCGGCCTGCAGGGGGTAACAACAGGGAGAGTGACTCATGCAGTATCTCTCATGATCGGAAGCGAACTGTCCTCGACCCTACGGATCGCTATACCTACTGCTTTAGTCATGTCCAAACTTACTCCATTTACTCCTGGCAAACAGGTTCACAAAGGGCACTGGCCTCACCTACGTGGCATCCAGCTGGCAGACCCAAACTACGACAAACCAGCCTCGGTAGACGCGGTGCTCGGAGCCGACGTTTACGGAATGCTAATCGAGAGTGGAGTTAAACACGGACAACCCGGAGAGCCGTATGCTCACTCTACCGTCTTTGGCTGGGTATTGATGGGCGCAATTGGACATACGAACTATCCGCCCGGAATTGACATCGCAAGTCACCATGTAACCATTGAACAGGATCTGCGACAACAACTACAGCGGTTTTGGGAGCTAGAAGAGGTGTCTGGGGAGTGCCCACTCACCCCGGACGAAGCTTATTGTGAGAGGCTGTTCGCAACGACCCACACTCGTGACTCAGATGGACGTTATGTCGTTCGCATACCCCGTAAGCAAGAGCCCTCGTTAGAGCTCGGAGATTCAAGGTGCGGGGCACTGCGTTTACTCTTGGCAGCCGAGAGTCGACTACGGAGAAACCCTTCACTCTACCAGTCATACGTCGAGTTCTTGAACGATTATTCTGAACTCGGTCACATGGAACCGGTGCCAGAAGCAGAAATTAAGGGCAACGGTTCATACTACCTGCCACATCATGCAGTGGTTAAGACAGCTGATCCAAGCGGAAAAATCCGGGTAGTTTTTAACGCTTCCTTTCGAACGAGCACAGGAGCATCTCTGAATGATCTCCTGCTGCCCGGCCCAAAACTTCAAGCAGAACTTTGGTTAATACTAACTAGATGGCGGTTATTTTAAGTTGCCTTCACCACGGACATTGTCAAAATGTTTAGACAAGTTCGGATTAATCGAGAGGATGCCGATCTTCAGAGGATAGTATGGCGGGCGGACGCCGAGTCAGAGGTTCGAGACTTTAGACTCGTCACCGTCACCTACGGTACGACACCGGCTCCGTATTTGGCAATCAGAACCTTGCTCCAATTGGCTGAAGATGAAGAGTCCCGGTTCCCTCAAGGAGCATCAGCAATCCGCAACCACACTTACGTAGATGACATACTAGCTGGCGCCAACACTCTTGCAGACGCCCTGGAACTCAAACTTCAACTGGAAGGCCTACTCCAAGCAGGAGGGCTCCATCTAAGTAAATGGGCTGCTACTCAAGCAACGCTCTGTCCTGAGGGGGATCAGGGGCAACGATTTATTGCAACTAACGACAATGTGGGTGCCCTAGGCATCCTTTGGACTCCTACCAAGGACACACTTGGCCTAAAGGCGGTCCCGTCATTTGATGTGACGACACAACCAACAAAACGCTCCATACTTTCCTTCGTGGCTAAGCTATTTGATCCCGCAGGCTGGGCGGCTCCTGTAATAGTAGTAGCCAAAATATTAATACAAGATCTTTGGATGGCGGGTTTAAACTGGGACCAAGAATTGCCCCCGGAGTTACAGACTTGTTGGTTGAAATACATTACCCGCTTACCTGAACTGAATCTATTACAGATACCTCGGTGGACCGGTATTCGCACGCCAATGGAACTTCATGCCTTCTCGGACGCCTCTGAAAGAGCCTATGCCGCTGCGATTTACCTGCGAGGGCTCGGGCCGCACGGGGACATTGAAGTGTCTCTCCTGCTTGCTAAGACCAAGATCACTCCGATTAAACCAGTCTCCATACCTAGACTTGAGTTGTGCGGTGCTCTACTAGCCGCCCGGCTATTGTGTCGGCTCACTAAACATCTGAAATTGGAGAGCTGCCCTCTATACGCATGGACTGACGCAAGGGTGGTACTTGCATGGCTACGAGCACATCCCTCACGTTGGACACCTTTCGTAGCCAACCGGGTGGCTGCCATACAAGAATTAATGCCGGGGAATCATTGGCACTATGTTGCTACGTCAGAAAACCCTGCAGATCTAGCTACACGGGGCATCTCGCCATCGGAGCTGAGAGACCGACGCCTTTGGTGGTCGGGACCCCCATGGTTGGGATCCCCGTCAAGTGACTGGCCAAGTGAAAGTGATGCTCGACAGGAAGTAACCGAGGAGCGGCGCACACACGCTACCACTCTTACTACTGATAAAATCGACAATGATGTCCTTACACGATTCTCATCATTTTCTAAATTAATTAGAGTTTCAGCATACTGCCTCAGGCTGCTACGAGACGTTGAACGACCCCACGCCGTTCATCTCACTGCAGATGAACTGGCACGCTGTCGATTGCGCTGGTGTCGCATCGCTCAGCACCAGGACTTTGCGGAGGAGATCAAGGTCCTCTCCCGCGGCTCCCAGCTGGCCCGTCGATCCCCGCTACTGTCGCTACGGCCCTTCCAAGGACAGGATGGGCTGATAAGAGTAGGCGGCAGACTTGCTCACGCACCGTTGGCCTTTGCCGAAAAACACCCGATTGTTCTCGCCAAAGAGAACCATCTTTCGTTACTCCTCGTGCGCGATGCACACGAAAGAACCCTCCACGGCGGTCCGCAGCTCACGAGGAGCGTGCTCTCTCGCCGTTACTGGATTTTGCAAGCCAACTCGCTAATTAGATCCGTTGTAAAACAATGTGTAAAATGTGCTCGTTTCAGGGGAACCACTTCTCAACAACAGATGGGCCATCTACCAGCGGATCGAGTCAGACCGGCCCGACCGTTCTGGACCACTGGCGTGGATTACGCTGGACCCATCAAGCTTCGAATTTCCAAGGGCCGCGGATGCAAAGGCTACAAAGGATATATCTGCCTATTCATTTGCATGGTCACCAGAGCCGTGCATTTGGAAGCCGTATCGGATCTCACCTCTAGCTCATTCCTGGCCGCTTTTAGGCGTTTTGTGGCAAGGAGAGGCCGTTGTGCGTACCTGACTAGCGACAACGGTACCAATTTCCGAGGGGCCGAACGAGAGTTGCGGGACCTATTCAGCGCCGCTGCCGATTTTTACAAGGATTGTAAAGCCCAGCTGGCTCAAGACAGCACGGAATGGGCTTTTATCCCTCCTTCTGCCCCGCACTTCGGCGGACTCTGGGAGGCAGGCGTCAAGGCCACTAAGTACCATCTCCGACGCGTCTTAGGAGATCAAATACTTACCTACGAAGAATTGACCACATTACTTTGTCAAATCGAGGCGTGCCTCAATTCAAGACCGCTCTATCCGTTAAGCAATGATCCAAACGATTATTCTGCGATCACCCCTGGGCACTTCCTTATAGGAGAGAGCCCAGTCAATGTACCGGAACCGCCCACCCTGACGGATACCCATGGGAGGGCTAACTCTAGGTCTATTTTGATTACTAATCTACGTGATCATTTTTGGAACAGGTGGTCGCGAGAATACCTTCACCATCTACAACAATTGGGTAAATGGCGGCAACGCTCGGAAAATCTACAGCCAGGCGCCCTGGTTCTCATCAAGGACGACCTCTTGCCACCAGCCAAATGGTCCTTGGGACGGATCAGCGAGGTTCACCCCGGGGACGACGGAATTGTACGCGTGGTCACGGTGGAGACGTCAACTTCAGCTCTCCGCCGCCCTATCACCAAGATCTGCCCACTTCCCATCAAACCTGCAGACCTGACCGCGAACAACTCAGGAGAGCAACCTAATTAAGATATCTAAAACCCAGACATCTCACGGCGGGCGGCGGGTCTCGGACCAGCGCCTCCTTGTTTCGTCTTAAAGACGAGGCGGGCGGGATGTTGGAACGACTCCGTCGATCTCTGTCGAATCAATAATATATCTCCCGATTGGAGCTCATGGAATGCTCCGATTTGCGAATAACAACAAACGAGTTTTTACGCGCACCGCGATGGGTCGAGGACGCTTTCACACTCTAGGTGGATCGAGTAGCTTGGGGTAGGGGAGAGTCCTCGCATTCCATCGCGCGGCTTTGCGTTGAGTTTAACGATAATTCCGCGATGAAACGGAACTGCTACCCGGCGACAATCTATCACATTAATTTATGTTCAACCAACAATAAAATAATAATACGGTGAAATCAAGTGAGTGATATTGTAACCTGTTCGATTCCCTTCAAGTAACATTTCCTTCACGGAGGTCGGATTCCAACCGGCGATTCCTCGACCGGCGATTCCCCAACAATAAGATTATCAAATTCAGACAAAGAACAAATTTCTAAGAAACTAATAAAGTTACGCAATTATATTCCTTCTGATTTTGCTCGAAAACCAAGATCATTAAAGTATATCAAACATTGGAAAGCCACAGAATATCGGCAATTTTTATTATATACAGGTCCTATTATATTGAAAGGAATACTACAAGAAAATGTATATTTAAATTTTCTAACATTACATGTAGCAATCACAATTCTTGCACATCCTACTTTAACATATCAAACTTCTATTATAGAATATGCAGAAAATTTATTAAAACATTTTGTAAAATCATTTCAAGTTATCTACGGTTCTAAATATATTTCACATAATATTCATAATTTATTACATCTTGCTGCAGACGTAAAACAATTTGGTGCTCTGGATAAATTTAGTGCATTTAAATTTGAGAATTATATGTCTACGTTAAAGAAATTAATTCGTAAAACTAACCAACCATTACAGCAATTAACAAGAAGATTTGCAGAAATTGAGACAATACATAATAATGAAACATTCAAAATATATTCAAATTCATACGATATGGAAAAATGTTTTACACGCTCTCATTGTGATGGTCCTATTACGAAAGATTTCATTTCTGTACAACAATATAAAATTTTTTGCAATAATCAATATTATATTTAACTGTGATGATCCAAAAAATAATTGCATTTCTTTTGAAAATGGACAAATAATGTCAATTTTAAATTTCATTAAATCTAATGACAATAAAATGTATGCTATTGGCAAAGTACTTGTGTTAGTGGAAGATTTATATACACAGCCTATTTCGTCATTAACTTTAAATATTGGTATCATGTCTGAATATTCTCATCTTCAGACATGGGAGTTTGATAAAATTAGAGCAAAAATGTTGAAAATGCCTTATAAAAAAAATTATATTATATTTCCGATGTTACACACAACTGAATAATACATGTTTAATATTAATTTGCATTTGTAATTAAATAATTAAACGTAATTATAATACTCTAATATAAATTGCAAATATTATTATTATTATTATTATTATTATTATTATCGTCACATTTTTATCATATTATTTACATCATAGATTATTTATAATTTCAATGCTGATCAATTTTTATTTACAGTTATTATGGCGTATAATATTGTGGAGTTCGAAGATGGTTTACAAATTGTTCCTTCTGAATGGTTAACTGAAAATAATAAGGAATGTAAATGGCCATCATATACAAGTCAAATTAAGATAAATAAAGCAATTATGAAAAGAATATCTCCTTCTGATGATTGGCAATTATATAAAATAATCCGTATTTTTGGTAGCAGCGGTTAGTAATATAAAAATGTATTTTATTTTTTTTATCAAAAATTATATAAATTAAAATTATAATATATATGTATTAAAAGTATATATTAAAATTTAAATTTTAAGTGATATTTGATTATAAAATATATAAAAACAAAAATCTAATTTTTAATATTCAAAAATTTTATACGTTTTAGATACATATGATAAAGCTATAGACAAACTTAAATTAGCTGAACAAATATCCGATATAGATGGTGATGATGGAAATAACCTCAAAAAATCGAGATATCAACGAGCAAAAAAAAATACAGGTTCATCTCCTGATAATTCTGATACAAGCGACACAAGCATCAATAAATTAAAAACTCGCAATGATTTAGAGTTAGATAATTTTCCTAATACACCAAAAGCTTTAACAATAAATAAGAGCAAAATCTGTGAAATAAAGACACCATTAATACAAGGTGATAAGAAAATGAATCGAGTAAAAAAATTTCAAGTTCTTCTGATAATTCAGATAGAACTGACACAAGCAATGATTTAGATGAAGCTTCTAATATATCAAACGATTTAAATAAAAGCAAAATGACTTATGAAATAAAAAAACCACTGATAAAAATTATAAGAAAATAACTAAGCCTCCGATACAAATAAGTAATGAAAAAATAATTAATATTCAGTCTAAAAAGTCTGCAGTTACATATAGTAAATCTATAAGTTCACAAGAACATCGAACAGCAAATAAAGATGACCTTGTTCCACAAAATTCAGATACAATATCTACATCCGATACTTGTAATGCTGATTGATTTAGGTAAAAATATATCTGTTATTAATTTTAAATTTTTGTAAAAGCTTACCTATATATATATATTATTAAAGTTTTAACTTTTTTTATTTATATCACTGTAAACATATATTTAAAATGGTATATAATTCGTAATATTTATATAATCTGACAATGAGTAGATATACAATAATATGTGTCAATTATTTTTGCAGATTTTCATAATTTAATTATCAGGAAACTAAATGCAGTATTGTTAAATCTTACAACAATTGATGAACGTTTAATAAAGTTGGATAATCACATAAGAAAAAATGAGGAAACGGATTTAAAAAAAAATGAACATTATGATTTCGATTTGCCAGCAGATACCGTAGAACAATTACAGAGAATTGATAATCAATTAAAAAACAAATGTGTTGCTGCAAAAATGGTATATACAAAATATTATCATTTTATACTTACGATTAGAAACATTTTATTGAAATGTCTTATAAAAAGCAATATTTTGGACATATTTATTTATTTATATAATGTTAAATAATTTTAAAGAAGTTAAAAGAAAAGTAATGTTAACTTTTTTTATAAGAGAAAAACAAATGTTTATTATTTTGATATTTTTAGATCATAAACTAATATTAATTAAATTATTTTATATTTTTAGACAAGACAATTGAGCTTTTTAGGAGGTAAGGATCATCATGATGTGATTTCGTACATGATGAAACATATTTTAACAAATAAATTAGCAATGGAATATAGTTGGGCTGGTGCAAAATTGAAAAATGCCTTTAAAAATCTTCGCATTACTATATGTATCATAAGTAAGTATATAAATATTTAATCACAGAAATGTTTTTATTGACATATTTTTGACACTTTATATATAGCATTCTATGCATGGTTATATTGGATGATGCTATTAGAACTCTAATATCATTATTCAATAATATGTAATCATAGGAATATAAAATAATTTTGAATAGTATATATACATATATACATATATATATATATAAAATTAAGTCGCTTTAAATTTTTATATAATCTATAACCACACATATCTGTTTAAACTTGTTGTTAAATGCTGCGCGAACTTCAAGAACCAATTTAACAAATAAGGAAGTTGAGGATATAATTGCAAGATGGCTAATTTTAGCCAAGCAGAGATTTGACCGAGATTTGTAAGTTATATATAATATACCTCAATTTAACTATTTTATCATCTTATCTCAAACTTTTTATTTTTATAAGAAACTGATTTTAAAGAGGGTGAACACATGCACTATCTGTTCATTATTGCGTGTATTAGTTTTTTTAAATTAAATACAACATTTAAGAACTTATTGTTATTTTTGTATAGAATATTTATTGCAGAATTGACTTATTGCACCTATGTATAACAATCACATATTTCTTTTTAGGAAAAAGGAAGAACAAAAAAAGAGATGCGAAAATGAGGAGATCTAAACAAGAAAAGGACAGGTTATTAAATATAATAATTTTAATATATAATAAATAAAATATTTGAACGTTTATTATTACGTTTATTGCACAGTTTATTATTATTACGTTTATTTATAGATTTTATACAGTTTATTTTTGCATATGTACTTTTTTTATTTTGAATGTATTAATTTCATACACAGTAATTATATATATATTTTATTATTTAAATGGTTACAGTATTAAATACATATGCATAGTTGTAAGTGCAATAAAGTAATTATTAAATATTATTTTTTAAATATAGTATAAAACGAGAAAAGTTATAATAATATATACAGTTGAATATTAAAGTAATTTAAAGTTCTAAGTATTTTAGTACTTTTATGCGTAGCTGTAGCATAAAAAATTAACAATCACTATGTTTATTTTATTAATGCCTATATATTAAAAAGTTATGCACATTTAAGTTTTCTAACAATTGTATCAATTTTTTTTCATAATTCTGATAAAGTGATAACTAGAATTTAAAAAAATTACTTTAAAAATGATTTATTATAAGTATTAATTATATATGTTAGTGATATAGTTATTAAATATGATTAAATGATGTGATTTAACGTGAATGTGTATTAAATGATAGTTACACACCCACACACACGTACATATATAATAATATGGCTTATTTAATATAAAAAACTGTTAATCTCGGCTCGAATTATTGTGTTACAATAAAAATAAATTCTCGACGGCAATCGGAGCCTGTGCGGATGACATGCACAAAATTAATAAATTAAAATGAGATCTCAAATCAAACTCATTTATTAAATTCTAAACGTTTCGACCCACTTCGGGTCTTCTTCAGTAGCTGCAAAATACAAAGAAACAAAAATAAAAGATAATCGGTACAATCAGAAAATTATAAAACTCGTATACATACAATCCGCAAATAAATTAAATATCATTCTCCTCCCTATTCAAACCGTCCGGCCGTCGGAGTGTCTCCCTAACGGTGACCATCGTCAGGAAGGAAGCAGAGCAGTGACTCCCTTACCAACACTAATCAACATAGTATAAATTAAACGTATAAGATCCACAAGAATTATAAATTAAAAACCGGGAAGAACACTCACCCCGACAGCAAAAACAGAGAGAAGACGATGCTACACGTGACACATCACTCTAACGACTGTGCGGTATTCTACCTCGACACAGTCGATACATATATACGCAAAAAAAACAAATATAAAAATAAAATATGAAAATAAATATAAAAACAAATAATACTTATCGGCACTCATGTCAAAGGTCTAACGAAAAAATCCGGTTATGTATAGTCACAAAGCTAGATTTTGGTAAATTTTTCGATTAACAGATCAAAATTCTCGTTTAATTTGTCGGTGTCGCTATGTAAATTTAAACTATTCTTCTGACGCTTTATGTGGATCATTTCGGATATCAAACGTTTACCTAAAAAAGGCTCCTCGTCCAAGATTTTTACATCCTCCCAATTAAATTCATGGTTCAATAATCTATGTTCCGATATGACTGATAATTGTGACGCGTTTCTTTTTATGTTGCTGCGATGTTCTTTCATCCTAGTTTTCAACAATCTACCCGTCTGCCCTACATACGACGCATCACAATCCATACAATCAATTTTATAAACTACATTATTATGGAGTTCCCTTGGTAACTTATCCTTGTGTACTTTGATGAATTTACGGAGACTGTTAATTGCTGTATAGGATGGAATGACATCCAAATCACGTGTAATGTCCTCGATTCTCTTCGATACATTATTGATATACGGAATATTAAAGTACGAAACTTTTTTCTGCGTTGGAATCTTGTCATTGCATATATTTGCTCTATTGTTATGCAACTTATTATTGTACCGGAAGAACAACTTTTTTAACCGCGCTTGTAATGTTTGAAATATCAATTTGAGAGGATAATTATTAGACAAAAGAACTCCAATCATAGACTCAAAATTATCTTTATGGAATTTCGGATGAGATAGCCAAAAAACTCTATCTATGAGGCTGATAATGGTGCCTTTTTTATGGCAGAGAGGATGCTGCGACTCAAAATTTAAATATCTGCCTGAATACGTCGGCTTATGAAACAAATCAAACTCAATGCTCCCATTATTTATAATAATAGTGACGTCTAAAAAATTCAATCGGTTGTCAACCCCCTCCTCCATGGTGAACTGCAATCTAGGATGGAAAGAATTGAAAGTGTTTAAAACAATTTTAAGCATGGAGGGAGGGGCCGCCAACGCGATATCGTCAACATATCTAAAATAAAATGGAAATGACATTGGAATCGCAGCAATCGCTCTATTCTCCAAATCTTGCAACGTGATATCCGCAATGATCGGTGAGAGAGGGGAACCCATAGGCGTGCCAAAAGTCTGTTGATAACATACATTATTAAACATAAAATAAGTCGAATTCATAATAAAACGAATTGCCAATAAAAATTCATCTCGTGGAATAATACACTCTTTTTCAATATACCCCCATCTGTTAATTAAACTATCGATAGCCATATCCAATGGTACGTTGGTGAACAATGATGCAACATCTAGTGAAACTAGCTTCACATCACTATCCACACATAAACCATTTAATTTGTTCACTAATTGGAAACTATCAGAAATAGCCGAATCAGGTTTCGGAATTGCCTTATGTATTATCTTATGTAAAAATTTTGCCAAGTAATAAAGAGGTGTATTCCTAGATGACACGATGACACGTAAAGGGCAATTCGGTTTATGCACCTTCGGCAGACCATACGCTCTCGGTAAAACCCCGTCCGTGCAGTTCAGGGATTTATATGTTGTTGAAGAAATGTAATTCTTCATTTTCCATCTATTTAAAATCCCGTGTAATTGATTAATTAGGTTCCTAGTCGGATCTTTTTTAACAACAGTATAAGTATCCCGGTCAGCCAGCAAATCACACATTTTGTCCATGTACATATCTCTGTTCATCGCAACCGTGATATTACCCTTATCCGCCTTCATAAATAAAATATCGGGATTATCTTGGATGAATTTACCCGTCAATTTGTAAGCCTTACAAAAACTATTTTTTGTGTGAGCTTTTCCAGACATGGAAATATGGAATTTATTTATTATGGGAAAGGCTCTATTTCTGACTGCAGATCGTTTTTCCACAGGGAGTTTAAAAATATTTTGTTCTATATTTTTCAACAACTCTATGGTGGTTTTATCTTTGTCAAATACTGGCAGACAGAAGTTTTCTCCTAACCGCAACAAATCTCGAATTTCACACGGTATCGATACGGATGATAAAATATGGCTTATATTTTTTGAAACGTATATATGTATTATTTAAAAAATAAAATGTAATTAAATAAATTACATTTATTTGAAAGAAAAACGTAGAGGAGACAAGGGTTGATTGTAACACGAGTAAAAAGTAATAATCTTTAAAATTAATGAAAAACATATTTTATAGCAGCACTAAAAAGAGATAAATGCTCGGTAAACTTGTATTGAACGTTTATCTCTCCTTTTAGCACTGCTATAGCACTGCTATGAATTTAATTTTAAATATTGGTACTTTTACTCGTATTAAAACCAATCTTTGTCTCTCTTATATAAAACTCTTTTATGACGTATAAATTATATCACTATAACATTCTATTTTCTATTACAATGATGTCATAATGACATCACATCTGTATAAATTACATCACTGTAACATACCATTCCTATCACAATGATGTCATAGTGATATCACATCTGTATAAATTACATCGCTATAACATTCCATTTCTTATCACAATGATGTCATGATGACATCACATCTGTTACGAAGCGGACATTCGCACGTCACTATGACATCACTGTGATTTTATTTTGACATATTTTATCGTCACAGAGCAATGTCTTTGTGACATCACTGTGACATTTTTTGCTATATGGGTATATATCTTTGTAACTAAGCTTTAAATTAAAATTTTATTAAAGTAAACTCCACTTGAAATTAACTGAAGAATATAATTATGTTAACCATTTAACTCTACAAAGTTTAGTTTGCGAGAAACTCGTTTTTTTCAATCGCTTTAACTCGAAAATTATCGACTTCTCAACATTTTCGCTGAGGAAAAATGATTTCCAAATTGGCCAGAGAATTCGGTATTATATGTCATATATGTTTATTTAGTTACACCCAGTATATATATATATATATATATATATATATATACATATACAGGGTGTAACTAAATAAATCACACGCACACGTACTTACGAGTATGCGCGCGCGCACACGCACACTTATACACACATACACATGTTTATATATATATATATATAAACATGTATATGTGTGTATAAGTGTGCGTATAAGTGCGCGCGCGCGCGCGCATACTCGTAAGTACGTGTGCGTGTGCGTGTGCGTGCGTGTGTGTGTGTGTGTGCGCGCGCGTGTGCGTGTGCGTGTGTGTGTGTATGTGTATAAATTGAAAGGATTCTATCAGGTATAGATGAAATTTAAATAGTTACTTTATTGCCAAAAATTAATTTTTATTAATTTATTTTTATGAGAAAAATTTTTATTATATTGTAAAATTAATAAAAAAAACTTGATTTTATATCGTGAAATTAATAAAAAACTTGGTGGAAATATATTAATTCAAACTTCATGTATGTATATATACGTATATAATTTCAAATAAGGAGTATATGTATAATTACCATATTGAGTTTTAGAATTTAAAATGTTTGAATAGTAACTGGTTCATAAATTTTAGTTTCCTCATATTCTCGAATTTTTCCAATGACATTCACAACTGTATAATCTTTGATAGTTAAATCCATAGGGACATTTCCTAAACTCTTAGAATAACGTTTTTGAGAAAACTCCGGATACATGTACCACCTATATACATATAAAAATATAATTATTAATTTTATAAAATACTTATTAATTATGAAATTTATTATTAAAAATGTTCATCAATAGAAAAGTTTAAATTTTGCAACAATTGTTGTAAGATGACTTTGAAACATATTTGCTAAAAAAGAATTTTCTAAAATTATAAGTTATAAATATTGTAATAAGAAGTTTTTATGTATACTTGCATACATACATTTTAAAATTATTTATAATGAAATGTAATGAGATAAATATTTAACGCGGTCAATTTCTTTTACAATATTTATAACTTATAATTAGAAAATGATTTTTTAACAAAAAATGTGTTTTGTAAAGTCATTTTACATTATTTATTATAAAACTTATACTTTCCTATATGAGTTTTTTATATTCAAGATAAGTGTCAAATTTACATTAAAAAATTTGTTATCAAAATTAATATCAATTGTAAATAATTTTTTAAATTATAAAATTATTTTTATTTGTAATATTTTACTAACAGTAAATTAACATTATTTCTAAATGTTAAAATTTAGTTTTGAATATATCGCTTATAACTTAACTTCGGCTGTATACCCGTTCACAATATAATTATAATCGTTTCCTATTTCCTAAAAACGCGTACTATTACTCCTTTTTAATATAGATCTAGGTACATCCCAGTCATCGTCGAGTATCGTCACTCTTGGTCTTCTTTTAATGTTTTTTAATATGTTAAAAAATTAATTTATAATGACAATGATAAATATTATAATTATGATTATTACTAACCCGCTCGAGGTCATGGGATAAATAAATTGTTTTCTTGTATAAAACTTTTGTTCATTATCCTGTAAATCATTGTCTATGTTGTTTATTTTCGTTCGTAATTCTATTAGTTCTGCGTTGTTTTGTGTTAGATTATTTAATGTGTCGAGTATTCTCATGTCCTCGTCTTGTGACGGTGCAATATTAAAATTCGGTAAAAATGTTATGTTCGTTACGTAAGTGTCGTTACATTTATAACATATCTCCGCTCTAACTTGCAACAAACATGAATTTTGTACTGCGTTCGTCATTATTATAATTGTTGTATTTATATTCATATGACTAAATTAATTTTTTCATATTAGTGGATACAAAAAGACTGTGTCAGTCGAAACGTTTATCCAACTTTTGTTAGTTGACGTAACCCGATAAATACCTTTTTCAATAATAGCATATAAGCTCGTTCGTTGCCTATACATTTGTAGTTGCACGTTATAATTCGTTATTATTAATAAATCGGTTTGCTATGTTCGCATATATAAATATTTAATTATATACTACATTTTTGTAAATCCTGATTGTTATAATTAAATATGTTAATCTAAGGTTATCTATGGCAAACATATTGTTTTCTACTTGTATACCTTTAAATGTTTTATTGTATGCTGCCACGGGGAATTCAATTGCCTTTATTATGTTATATTTAGGCTGTGATATTATCGGGAACCGCAGTATTGTATATAAATTATATTCTTTGCTTACGTATGCACTTACGCTTGCATGTTTCTTTATTTCATGCCAGTTTACTGCGTGTGTTCTAAACGGAAAATAATATCCCTGTTCTAACTGTGTTGCGGCTTCCTTTAAGTGTGCGACAATGTTATCAAATGGTACTAATTTCGGATGTATATTTCCTTCCTCGATTTGCGCTAAGTATTCTATAATATTTTCCGCGTCCCTAATGGCGTCTGTTACTGCTGCCATAATTATTTCGTATTGTCCCTGTATCTTTTCTAACGTAATATATTGCGCTACATTTTCCTGTAAGAGTTTTTCACTCTGTTTTATTGTATTCTCTAACTTGCTTATATGTGTTACCGTATCGTTGAGTATTGTTAGTTGATGCCTAACTGTGTGTTGTAACGTGTTCTGTCGGTTATTTATTAATTCTAGTTGTTCATTTATGCGTTTTTCGTCATCGGCGTCCATGGTACCGAACAATGTCTTTGCCACTGTTCCTATCCCGTCAATTATTCCCCTACGTTTGTCTGTATGTCTGTCGTAGAGTGTATTTATTTGTATTATCGTTTTTTCTAAATAGTTTAGTGTTTGTTTTGTAATACTAACTAAATTAAGGCATGTGTCTTGTTGCGTTAACACATTGCACGCTTTTTCCGTACGCTCTATATAATTTCGTATGTAACCTTGTTTCGCAGTTAATGTTGCTAGGTCCAGTTTTATTACTAGTTTCCACGTGCTTTTGGAACAATGTAGATGGCCTATTTTTTCAAAATGTATCCCTGGCTCGTTGGTGAATTCCTCGAGTTCGTATGGCTCTTGGCTTGACCGTCTTAATGTCGCTGCGTTGGCATTGAATATGATCATCCTGTAATATATATATAATTCCCCTTACTATTTTATACTTTTGTATGCAATTTTTATCAAGAAAGCGGAGCATTCGTTTTTTATATCTTCTGTCGTTTCTTCAGTCTTAGGACAACTTTTGTTACGTGCGGCACGACATATTAACATGTATTTTCGTTTTAATTGTATTAGATGCAATGCTTATTCGCATTTGGACGATTTGTTGTGTCTTTACTGTCGCGCCCGCGCCCCTGTTGTGGGGCCCGAAATAACGGGGGACGAGTATTCCCGGGCGTACGATGTGGTGCTCCGGTGGGCGAATGTGTCCCGGAGGGCGGGTGAGCCGCATTCTTTGCACGTCACCCTTGATACGCGCACCGATACGCGAGTAGTGCGTGAAGTGGTGGTTTTGGTGGGGACGACCAGCCTTGACCGATTCGCGATACCGGAATAGGTAAGTCTCAATTTTCGATAAATAATTTTAGTCTGTTTGTGTGTATGCGTATTGTTCTTCTTCCTTTCTTTATTGTGTAGTTGACGTCGGAGTTCTTTTCGATTATTGTATACGGTCCTGCCCATAAGGCGTCAAGTTTCTTTGATCGTCCGCGTCGTAGCGTATCGTCATATATAAGTACTTTATCACCGACTTTAAATTTTATTTCTTTTGCGTCTTTATCATAATATTTTTTGATTTGATTTTCTCTTCGTTTACGCGATCCTTCGCAATTTGTTGTGTGGCCCTTAATCTTTCCCTAAGCTCTTGAGCGTAATCGTCGTAACTGTATGTGGCCCTCGGTGGTTTTGTTAATGCCGTCGGTAGGTTGGCCTGATGTCCGTAAATTAATTCAAACGGCGTGTACCCCGTTGCACTGTGCGGGGTCGTATTATAAGTAAACATTGCATAAGGTGTCCATTCGTCCCAGTCTGTTTGATCAGCGTCAACATAATGGCGAAGATACTCTGCTAATGTCCTATGTGATCGTTCGAGTGCCCCATTTGTTTCCGGGTGATACGCGGTTGTTTGTAATTTTTTGATTTTTAACAGTTTACATGTGTCCTTAAATATTTCACTTAAAAAGTTTGTCCCTTGATCTGTCAAAATTTTCTCCGGTATCCCGTGTTCTAGGATTATTTTTGTTACGAACTCCTTTGCGATTGTGCCAGCTTCCTGGTTCGGTATTGGAATCGCCTTACTAAATTTTGTTAGGGTGTCTTGGAATGTTAATAAATATTTACTCCCATTCGTAGTTATTGTTAGCGGCCCTACAATGTCCAACGCACATTTTTCAAATGGCTTATCAGGCGTATCTGTAATTATTAATGGTGCTTTATTTTTCCGCGACAATTTATTTTTTTGACATGACTCGCATTTGGCGATGTATTTCTCGACGTCTTTTGTTAAACCCGGCCAATCATGATCTAAACGAATTCTCTTAATTGTTCTTTCTATTCCCTGATGTCCTCCAATGGGCGCATCGTGATATTCATATAGTATCTGTTGTTTTTCCTCTTCGGTGTACGTCCTTTCATTCTTAGCATCGTTTACCTCTTCTTTTTCTATCTTGCATATACCTTCCGTCCTTTCGCTTGAGTCAGCGTTTCGGATTACGTTCCGACTTAATGCATCAGCGTTTGCGTTCGCTCGTCCGGCCTTATGTATGATTTCGTAATCGTATTCTTCTAATTTTAATCTCCAGCGAATCAACCTTGAGCCGGGGTCATTCACGTTAAATAGCCATACCAATGGTTTATGATCCGTAATGATTTTGAATTTGGTCCCGTACACGTATGGTCTAAAATGTTTTACGGCCCATACAATTGCTAATAATTCTTTTTCCGTTGTGCTGTAATTCTGCTCCGCGCGAGATAGCACTCTGCTTGCGTAAGCAACAGGGCGGTCATTGCCTATGGGCCCCTGTGAGAGCACGGCTCCGATTGCATAATCGGACGCGTCTGTAGTTACATTAAATTCCTTATTAAAATCTGGATATTGTAATATCGGTGCCGTTATTAACTTATCTTTTAAAATATCGAACGCAATTTGTTGCTCGCTGTTCCATCCGAAGGTTTCGCCCTTTTTTGTCAATCTAGTCAGGGGTTTTGCGATCTTTGAGAAATCCTGAATGAACTTCCTATAATAACCGGCGAGTCCTATAAATGCCTGTACATCTTTAACTTTTTGCGGCGTCGGAAAATTTTTTACCGCCTCTAATTTTGATGGGTCCGGTAATATACCGTTTTCCGAGATTATGTGTCCTAAGTATATAACTTCTTTTCGTAAAAATTCACATTTATCTGGCTGCAATTTCATGTTGTGCGTCCGTAATCTCTGTAGCACTTCCCTGAGCCTTTTATTATGATCCTCTAAACTTGACCCATATATGACAATGTCGTCGAGATATACGAGACATTTGAGCCCTTGAATTCCAGTCAGTACTGAATTCATTAGTCGTTGGAAGGTCGCGGGTGCATTCTTTAGTCCAAATGGCATTCTGTTGAACTCATAATGTCCAAAAGGAGTTGAAAAAGCTGTTTTCTTTTTATCGTATTCAGCCATCGGTATCTGGTGGTAACCTGATGCTAAATCGAGCGTTGTAAGTATTTAGCGTTTCCCAGCTGGTCCAAAATGTCTGTGATGTTTGGTAGCGGAAACGAGTCGCCTACTGTAAGGT